AAACACTTTTAGTTACTATGTTAAGGAGTACAGAACACTTTTAGTTCGTGTTAAGGAGTACAGAAACACTTTTAGTTCATGTTAAGGAGTACAGAAACACTTTTAGTTCATGTTAAGGAGTACAGAAACACTTTTAGTTCATATTAAGGAGTATAGAAATACCTGTGGTTCATGTTAAGGAGTACAGAAACACTTTTAGTTCATGTTAAGGAGTACAGAAACAATTTTAGTTCATGTTAAGGAGTATAGAAATACCTGTGGTTCATGTTAAGGAGTACAGATACACTTTTAGTTCATGTTAAGAAGTACAAAAACACTTTTAATTCAAGTTTCGTATTCTAGAGAGAGGTTGTTTGTTTTTAATTTTGCTCACAGCTACTCGAGGGTTATCTATGCTAGCCGTCCCTAATTTAGAAGTAATAGACTAGAGGGAAGACAGCTAGTCAACACCACCCACCACCAACTCTTGGACTACTCTCTGACCAACGAAAAGTGAGGAGAGATACTCTTTTACCAACGAAAAGTAGAATTGACTGTCACATTATAACACCCCCATGGCGGAAAGGGCGAGCATGTTCGGTGACTGGATTCGAACTCGCGACCCACAAAATTGTAAGTCGAGAGCCCTAATCACCAGGCTTCTAGAGAGAGAGAGAGAGATCACAGGTTAGTTTTAGGGTTTCTCGGCTCAACTTTGCACTTACTATGAGGGTATCTTCCAAGAAACGAGATATACTTCTGGTACGATATAAGAAACTGTAATGTTACCAAGAAAACCTTGGATTTTCTCAAATGCGTTTCCATGATAACTTTGATCAAACATAAGCATAAGAAAATGTTACATGAATAGAGTTAAGTAATAACACTTAAACTTGATACTTCTCTCTCTTAAACCGATGCATAAGCTTACAGTTATATGATTTTTCACATCTCTAATCGTACGTCCACTACAATAACCTTTTTTCACTATTGCGCCAGTTTTTAAGAAAAAACAATCCAAGTTTCCAACCTTGAATCATCCACCATGTTTCACTTTTAGCTACCTAAATATAATTGTTTTTGTTAAAGAGCGTGCATTTGCAAAAACACGGATCCTCGGCTCCACAGTCTAGCAACACTAACCATTTGGCCATGTCCGTTTCTGGAAAACGTTCTTCAAATTACGATCACAAAATTTAAGAGAAAAGCAGAATGGGCTAACTACAAATAATGAAGTAATTCATAGGCATTTTCTAAACGTTACATGTACTAAAATAACTGATTAATTACTCATAATTAAATGACTAGTTACAGCATTTTCTATTTATTACAAAAAAAACGCTAACTTAGACGATGAAGGAATTCGAGAATAATAATTATTTTCCAAATTATTTCCATTCACAACCTTCGTGAAATGAACGTGATTGCACGTGCAATAGACCCTCGACAATATTTCATAGCACATTATCAGCACTTCTTTTCAATGAAATCAGTCTCCGTTTGAACTGCCACAGATATTTTTGGACAGTTTGGTTAAGAAAATATAAGTGAGAGTGGTTCCATGTGGGGTCCAGCCCCCCAGCTAAGACATCACCAAGGGGAGCCCCCCTTCCTTAGCTATATGGAACAAGGGAACAAGAGAAGCTGAAACAATGTTATAGAATAATTGGAATGTTTGTGGAGGCAAGATTGAAATTACAGCTAACTGACTGTCCACAATTAAGCGAATCTTGGAGCGCACCTTTTACCTTCTCACACAAGGTCGTCCAAGGTCATGGTTTTCATCAAAAACTGATGGAGACTTTCATTTCTCTAATATAAAGTATAAAATAAAATAAAACTAGAGTGATGATTTTTTTAAAACTCAGAACTCTGTAAGAGGAATGACACTGTGGATTAGGCTCTGCCCTCACCCCCGGCACCAGACTTGCACTTTAACTACAGCATATAACTGATCTTACTGGTGAAAACTGACGTATTTGGGTACAGTGAAACAGAAACGTAAGTATACAGTACTAACGTAATAGAAAAATTATTAACTGTGCACGAAGACTTCTGAATATTACTTGTTGTACCAAACAGGTACTGGAATTTTCGTGGACCCTCCCTGACTCTCCCTTCTGGGTCTAAATTTTGGAGACTGTTGACTTTGGTCGAGTCCTTGACTTGGAGGACGATCCAAATCTGGAGAGCATCTCATGGTTGATGGTGAAGAAGCACTATCGCTGTTCTCCAATTCTTCTTCTTCTTGTATTTTTTTGTCAACCTTTTCTCGATAGCTGTTTATAAACCTCTGCATTTCACTAAAAAATTCGCTGTCGGTAACTAAATCAATGTCTTTCAACAGTTTTTGCATTTTGTTAGCTGTGGAGACAGACTTGGCAGGAGACAATTTTTGAGGGCTTGAAGAGATGCTTGATTCGGCACTTTTAGATTTGAGATTTGTAGTGGATTTGCTAGGAGAACGGTTACTATTTTCCCCAGAAGAGAAGCGATACAGATCAGGACTGATGGAAGTTCTAGATGGACGCTGTCTGAATGTCCAAGTTTTACAACCTGTGTCAACTTTTGGGCAAACATCGGTTGGTGGTTTATATGAAAACCGTCTTGGAAAGTTTCTTGGTAGCGAGGACCCGAATCCACCCATGTCACTGGTCTGAGAATAACTTCTAGGAATACCAGGAGTACAGCTCGCCGAGTTTCCTGTGGAATTCCGGCTCTTACGACTATATACTGACGAATTGGAGCTGTTCTGGCGGTACAACTGCAGCTTTTCGGTATACCTTCCCGAATATAAGTTTTCGGTACTCTGAGATTTGTGGTTAATGATCGATGCTGTTTTCTTACCAGGCGTCCCTACTAACACTGGTTTAGATTTTTTTGCAGATTTAGAAGTCGGCGTACTGGTATTTGAAAATGTCGAATCTGCAGCGGAGTTGTTAGAATTTTCCACTCCTTCCTCTACATTAGACTTTAGGAAGTCTGTAGTTCTTCTAAGATCATCTCCCGAAACAACCGAACTTGTTTCTGACGATTCGGGGCCAAAGCCAGAGTCACAACCATCTGACAAATACACACGGGAAGAATGACCAGCTTCTTCCCCATTTTCGAACATGCAGTACAACTTCCGAGAACTGAACTTTCTGGGCTGACTAGAGATTCGAGGACCTGCTCGACTTTCTCCTTCAGAGAATTCGGAAGAGCTGTCTGCGGAAAAGGATGGTGGTCGTGAAGATTTGTTAGACACTTGGAACTGAGGTCTGGAGGATCCTGCTGACCTGCCCTCCTCTTGGGTCGGACTTTCGCTGTAATAGTAGAGACTGGTACTAGAAGCGGACGAGTCATCACTGTAGTGAGAGCTTCTTGACGGTTCACGTGGAGGAATGTCACGCGTGTCAGAAGATGGCCCTACGCCCTTCTGACCAGAAGTAATGGTGACCACTCGCCGGCGAGATTGTGGTGAAGTCGGAAGGCTGTTGTCCACTCCACTTCGATATGTTGAAGAAGTGGAAGTTGAAGGTCTATAGGAAAATAAGGAAAGTTGTTGCAATGTGTGATTTATAAATAACACTTGGAATTGTTGCAATGTGTGATTTATAAATAACACTTGGAATTGTTGCAATGTGTGATTTATAAATAACACTTGGAATTGTTGCAATGTGTGATTTATAAATAACACTTGGAAGTGTTGCAATGTGTGTGATTTATAAATAACACTTGGAATTGTTGCAATGTGTGATTTATAAATAACACTTGGAATTGTCGCAATGTGTGATTTATAAATAACACTTGGAATTGTTGCGATATGTGATTTATAAATAACACTTGGAATTGTTGCAATGTGTGATTTATAAATAACACTTGGAATTGTTGCAATGTGTGATTTATAAATAACACTTGGAATTGTCGCAATGTGTGATTTATAAATAACACTTGGAATTGTTGCAATGTGTGATTTATAAATAACACTTGGAAGATTCTTTGAAATTCTGAAGCGGTGTTTGCTATAAAATCCAGACAACCAATAACAGAGGAAATATTAAGTTTTACAAAGTGTACAGGACAGCTCACAACTAGAAGTATTGAAACTTTTCTTCTTTTTACAAGAACGCTTCCTGAAGAATGACGAACAAAAACACAAACATATACAAACAACGCTTTTCTGTAAAATATACATATTAAATTTTTTAAGTATTTTAGTTACTTCAAGTTTTATGTTAACGCAAATTTTCAACCTTTAGTTTTTGGTTTGGTTAATCTCTTTGGTCAACTGAAGGCGTGTCTGGTATATTCATTTTCAATCAATATTCACATGGTTATATACTTTTTGTAATTCTGTTTCTTTTTTTCTGAGGTTAAAGGTTTAATAAACCTCAAAACACACTAATGAAGTATATATTACAACACAAACACTATTTCAGCAAATGTTATAGTTTTAACGCAAGTGTAAGCTTATAAAAGCTGTACACAGCAGGGGCGCTGGCAGAAAATAAACCCTATGCACAGTCTTGGAGTATCTCCATCGGTATGGGGTTTGAGAGTTAAAGCCCCACGGCTCTTCCATGAGATACAGAAAGGTGATAATTTCTTAGCTTTTAAAAGTTATTTCGAAATCTTTTTCGTTGTCTTAATACGTAGAGCACGTAGAGCAGAAACTTTTCTCAACGGATTTAAAAACCCAAAACACGAGCCTGCTGAATATAGGTGAATGTTAGCTTGTTGGTTTGTTAAGCATAAACTTATACAATGGGCTATCTGTACTCTGCCCATCACGGTTATCGAAACCCGGTTTTTAGTATTATAAGCACACAGACTTGCCGCTGTGCCACTATAGGGCTGAGTGTTAGCAGTTTGTTTGTTTGTTTGTTTGTAATTAAGCACAAAGCTACACAATGGGCTATCTGTGCTCTGCCCACCACGGTTATCGAAACCCGGTTTTTAGTATTATAAGCACACAGACTTGCCGCTGTGCCACTATAGGGCTGAGTGTTAGCAGATGTAGAGTTAATAAATTCGCTCTTTGAACAGAGCTAAATTTACGAACTGCGTAACTTAAGGAAGAAATATTACAGGTTATGTATGTTAATGTTTTGCACGCTTGGCATCGTCTCCCGACAGGAATAAACTATATATATATATTATACACGGTATGAACTTACCTGTTGTACGTGACTTTCATGTTAGACGAACCTCCTTTCCCCGGGGTCATGGTAACTTTGGCCGAAGAAGGCGGTCTAGGGCCTGCCGAAGAAAGTGGAAAACAGATTAATAATGCTTTAGGTTATATGAAGAAGTCTAATTGACATTTCACCAAAGGTAACACAGATAACCCGATATTTAGCTCACCTCGGGGCAATGATAAATAAATGTTAAAACGGCATCTAGGAACGAATGCAGGAAACAACAGAAAAACTAGACGTCCTTTACAATTGGATACCATTCCTTTACTTGGACATCTTGCACCTTACTAACCCAGTATTGGCGTGTACTTATTTACAAGAAAATATATTCTGTTTTCTTAACCTTCGACAGTAATTTAGTTCTACAATATTAGAGGTAAGGACGTTTTATAAAAACAGTAGTTTTTCAATACATACAGCAAAATTTATATTATGCATAAAATACGTTAAATTATCAATAAATCAGAATAATAACCTAACATTCCGGAAATGTTTGTGTTTAACAATTAGAAGCGGATGTAACAATCCATGACTTGATGACTTTTATCTCCAGAAATGTAAAAAAAAAAAATACTTCATAGCTTGTAGTGTACAGTTTACATGGTCTTGGGATAATACGTGAAGAAAGCTTTATTTGTTGATAAGGGATATGTTTGAAAGCCAAGTATTAATACGGACGCGCTCAATACTTGCCATTAATTGCGAAAATAAAATATTTGTTGGTACAGTTTTAAGCAAGATATTTGAATACCTGGAAAATAATTATTTAGAAGATTAAACTAACAGTAAAGCGTACGATATATTTCATGCGAGTTCACTGCATTACTGAACGTCATAGGAATGTTTCATTTATTTTCAGTACAGTGTTCTTAACCCTGATATTATTTAACTACTGGGGTGCTTTATTTAAAGTTATAAGTTACACTGTAAAATGCACGATCTCGTGCTTGTTTTAGTGCATATTTTCTCACGCGCTATTTAAATCATTGTTTAATTGAACGTGAACCGAATATGTTTGATTTGCATCAGTATATTTGATCAGACAATCTAGTTTCATATCTATTATGTTAGTGTCTTTAGTTTATAGTTAAACTACACAGTTTTAAGATATTAAACCAAATTGCACAAGATTTTGTACATCCAACCCCTGCTAAAATCAAAACACTGGAAAATAATGATCATGATTTACAATTTTATGCTGTGATTTAGCCTACAAATACAAAATAATTAGCAATTAATTTCGTCTCTTCTTACACTGTATGCCGTTTAACCTTTGTGTTCATTGTCTAAGATATACAGTTACAATTTACACAATTTAATTCCAACAAAAACAACTGTTTCAATATACGAACCCATATAATTTCGAGAGAGTAAGTTATGAACAGATGTGTTTCCAATTCAGTACAGGCCGGCATGGTCAGGTACTCTTACTTACGTACTCGACACTGATAATGGGTCAGCTTTCGTCGTAAACATGACCACAGTTCAGCAATCTTACTTATGTATTCGACACTGTCAATGGGTCAGGTTTTATTGTCAACGTGACCACAGTTCAGCACTCTTATGTACTTGACACTGTCAATGGGTCAGGTTTTATTGTCAACGTGACCACAGTTCAGCACTCTTATGTACTTGACACTGTCAATGGGTCAGGTTTTACTGTCAACGTGACCACAGTTCAGCAATCTTACTTACGTACTCGACACTGTCAATGGGTCAGGTTTTATTGTCAGTCAACGTGACTACAGTTCAGCAATCTTACTTACGTACTCGACACTGTCAATGGATCAGGTTTTATTGTCAACGTGACCACAGTTCAGCACTCTTACTTACGTACTCGACACTGGTAATGGGTCAGGTTTTATTGTCAACGTGACCACAGTTCAGCACTCTTACTTACGTACTCGACACTAGTAATGGGTCATCTGTTAACCTAAACATGATGGTAGCACTTACCCACTCGACACTGACAAGGATCATGTTTGTCTAAGTAATGTTCCAGCGTGTCCCAGCCTCCTCCCACCCTCACCATCACGTGATTGCGTAGAATCTAAGAAAATGAAAATAAAGTTATAAAAATATGAACAAAAAATGCCGATATACTTCGTTTTGTAGACCTGATTACCAAGTTAAATAAACTATAACTTTGGGAGACAAGTTTTCTCGATGTGCACATGCGCTAGTTTGTGAAATACTGTATTTTTATCAGCTCCAAAAGCAACGAAAAAGTTGAAGTTGAAGTGTTTCATATCTCCATCTTAATTCACAAATCATCGCCTTATTTTCAGTTCACTACAGGTAAGATCCCTAAGGGGCGGACTGGGAAGAGGGGAGGGTGATTTAGCCATAGCCTTTTCGAGGGGGGGGATTCAAGACTTAATTAAAATTACGTAACAATGATTCCATTTAACGCTCCACTCGCAATCTGTGGGTCGCAGGTTCGAATCCCCACGCTGTTATAGGCAGTTCGCCCATGGGGCGCTCCACTCGCAATCTGTGGGTGGCAGGTTCGAATCCCCACGCTGTTATAGGCAGTTCGCCCATGGGGCGCTCCACTCGCAATCTGCGGGTCGCAGGTTCGAATCCCCGTCCCACCAAACATTCTCGCCCTTTCAGTCGTTGGAGTTTTATAATGTGACGGTCAATTTCACTATTCGTTGGTAAAAGAGTAGACCAAGAGTTGGCGATGGGTGGTGATGACTAGCTGCCTTCCCTCTAGTCTTACACTGCTAAATCATGGACGGCTAGCGCGAAATTCAAAACAAACAAGTTCGCCCATGGATCCGTATATTTTAAGTTTTTGTGTTTTACAACAGTTTAAAGAACTGGCCCAAAACATTGAGTGAAATTGTTCATTTGTGTGTGTGTGTGTGAAATATGCAAGGGAGCTCAGCAATAATTTGTGTGTGTGTGAATTACGCAAGGGAGCTCAGCAATAATTTGTGAGAATAAATGGAATATTGATGGTATTTATGTTTGAATTATTTATGTTTGTTTTGAATTTCGTGCAAAGCTACACGAGGGCTATCTGCGCTAGCCGTCCCTAATTTAGCAGCGTAAGACTAGAGGGAAGGCAACTAGTCATCACCACCCACCGCCAACTCTTGGGCTACTATTTTACCAACGAATAGTGGGATTGACCGTCACATTATAACGCCCCCACGGCTGAAAGGGCGAGCATGTTTGGTGGGACGGGGATTCGAATTATTTATGAGTCTTTAACTAACAAAGACAGAGGAAACATTTTCAAAACAAAATAAATTGAGGTACTCAAATGGATGAAGTAGACCTGTTTTTGAAAAAGAAAAAATTTACGTGTAATCATAAAAAAACGACAATTTGAGTGTCAGTGAATAAATGCTTTCTGACAGAACAATGGAACGCACGCGCATCCGAAAAAGCAGCTCAAATAAATCCCGGTACTAGTACCGCCTTAATACTGAGTTCCGATACTCAGTACCGGTGAGTACCGACAGAATTTCAACCCTGAACAAAGTCATGAATCTACAAATAAGTTGGTGCATAAACAGTTTAGAAAAGTGTGTTTGGAAAGCTCATAAACGTATGGAAACAATATAATTTTGAGGTGAAATTTATCAGAACGTCAGCATTGTACCCCTGAACTACATGATGTTGTTCGTTAACTTCCTTTTTATACAGACATATTTTGTTATTTAAAAACGAAGGAGTCCCTTAATTTTCATTATTGTATATAACTGTTTAAAAATCAAGAATTTTGGTAAACACTTCATGGCTTTTATAATGATAGAAAAAAAAAGATAAAATACTATTTGTCAGACAGAATTTCCAGGAGTTTCTTATGTAATTCATTGGGACCAAGTAGTTGTGTGTTTAGATTTGTATGTATTTGTAGGGTAATTTCGATAATTTACTTTCATATATTTCGTAACAATTCACCTCTTCTATATGTTTCACTTCAAAATACTGGCGTTGTGAGATCGTCAACGCTGCAGGATGTGACACAACGTTGATTTTGAGACATTGCAGTCATGTGACCTCGGACACAGAGGCGACTCGTATGTTAGTATATAAACTAATGTTGAACCTGTAGGATTGAAACATAGGCTTGGCATGGCCTGGTGGTTTACGGCGCTCGACTCGCAATGTGTGGGTCGAGGGTTCAAATCTCACCACCGAACATATCCAGCATTTCAGTCGTAGGGGCGTTATAACGTGATAGCCAATTTAGCTATTCGTTGGGTCACCCGGTGGGACAGCGGTAAGTCTACAGATTTACAACGCTAAAATCAGGGGTTCGATTCCCCGCGGTTGACACAGCAGATAACCTAATGTGGCTTTGCTTAATTAAACAATAACAACTTATTCGTTGGTAAAAAGTAACCTAAGAGTTGGCGGTGGGTGTTGTTGATTAGCTGTCTTCCCTCTAGTCGGTCACTGCTAAATTAGTGACAGCTTGCGTAGATGGTCTTCGAGCAGCTTTGCGCGAACTTCAACAAACCAAGACATCATGCACATTCTCCTGAGTTTATATTTGTATCCAAAGTTATTATTGTTTAAATATTTCTTTATGCCCGACAAATAGTGTTTGTAACCCTAAACAACCTTATCCATAATGAAATGTCCTGTTCGTTGTCAGTTATTGTACGCATAACGCACAGGAAAAGTAGTTTCCGGGTTCCATTGTTCTCTGGGTTATTTGGTTTGAACACACGTGACTGTTAGAGAAACCTCGGAAAGGAAACAACTTGGATCTAAATGTAGATTTTTTTATCATTGAATAGATATTCTCCATGGTCCCCAGAGGCATTTCTATAGAGCTTGTTTGCTGATTTTTACTTAATATACGGGATTCGAACCCGCAACTCGCAGATTGCGTGTTGAGTGCCCTAACCACCAGGCCATGCCAGGCTCCGAACACATGATTGTTTGTTTGTAATTAAGCAGAAAACTACACAATGGACTATCTTCGCTCTGCCCACCACAGGTATTGAAACCTGGATTCTAGCGTTGTAAGTCCGCAGACATACCGCTGTGCCACTGAGGGGCCTGAATACATGAATCAGGACATTGGACACTCCTGATTGGGCTGATATTATTACATTAATTATATTGTTTACCAAGTTAATTGCCAATTCTGATCTCTGTAAGGCAGATTACTTTCATCAGAAATCATTGATAATGACTTAAACAGACTCAATTCTATTATGTCGTAATTTCTGATAAATTAAAAAAAAAAAGAATGAAAGAAATTGTTTTTGTTTGTTTTGTTTTTTAAGTTAAGCACAAAGCTACACGATGGGCTATCTGTGCTCTGACCACCACGGGTATCGAAACCCGGATTCTAGCGTTGTAAGTCCGCAGACATACCGCTGTGCTACTGGGGGGTATGAAAAAAATATCCTTTCAACTTACAGAATGATTTAAAGTTTCCAGCAAATATGTATAAAATGAATAACTAGTATTTTTTCTTCTCACAAGCATCTGTTTTTTGGCGTGAAATAGACTTTTATTTCATATTTCCACCTTTTAAATACTGGCCGGAAATACGGCTTTGGATTGCATACAAGGATTTTTGGGCGGGGCAACTTGCACGGCAGGCTCGTACGTCATGTAGAAATCCGCACAAAGCCAACAGGTGCACCACTGTTTGTAAAGGTGTTTTCTTTTTAATTGTAGAAGCATGTATGTTTATACTTGCTAACTCAATTTAAGATGTCTTTCGTATTCTTTACATTGAAAATCAATAAAATATTAGAGATAAAATAATTCATTAAAATTTTCAGAGCGCGAGGAATCGAACCCTGTATTTTAGAATCCGTAAACTTACCGATGATCCACCGGAGAACAATAAAATTGTGGAAAGTATGAATCACTTATAGGCTACTCATACTTGTGAATAGTTTAAAAACATACAAAGTCTAGTTATCACTGTCCAACGTACATCAATACAAAGTTGACATCCTTAGCTATCATTACCGGACATGTGTAATACTCCATAAGTAAGTATTTGTTGGACATCAGAAAAGCCTCCAGGTGGCTCAGCAGTAAAATTCAGAGTTTAATCCCTGCTGTGGTCACAGCAAAGATAGAGTACGGATCAGCTTTACGCTTAATAATATGAAGTGAAAGGTGTTTTTTTTTAGATATATTTATTTTCGTTAGTTTGCAACAACTCTATAACTAGAATGTGTTTACAAATAAGAATTAGTTTCTATTTTTTGCTACTAGATGGCAATAAAACTCACTCTGACAAATATGAGGATTTTCGTATCTCCAATGCGATATTTTCCTTCTGAAACTCTAATCATAGGGAACTGTGAAGGACACGTGCATCTGTTTAGGAGCTCCACAACCTAAATAGAAAAATAGATTTGAAATGATTTGAAAATGTAACTGTATGACTGTGGATTTACTGTTACATGATTCATGAAGTTTTAATGATGACTTCTGAAAACCAAAAAAAACTCGTTTGTAAAAGTGTAGGAAGTACAAAGTATCGAAGATAACCGAAGATTATCTGATAATTTCATATATTTAGTCTGTAAGTTATCAACATTAGATTTCAATTGAGGGGTGCAAAGTATCATAAATAGAGAGAACAAACTTTATTTGATCATCTTTAAAGCCGGGGTCAATATCGTCAAAATTATTAGTATACTGTGAAGTGTACTGAATGCTCTGAACTTGAATCTCGCGGTCTATCAAAGCTTAAAGAACCTGTTACGTAACAAGGAATTTGGCTCTATACAA